CTGCCACATCTGAGTCACCATGATCTGTCACGTGCTTCAGTATCAACAGAGAGCCCTTACTTTGTGAGTACTCCTCTCCCATTGGAGGTGGATGATCTTCATCCCAGTCCACCGTGTCTTCGTCTGTCAGCACGACGATATGGCATTCACGTTCCCCTTTCCTGGCGCTATCCACCATTATAGGCAGAATTAGCTCCTCCAGATAGCTATCAAACTGCTTGTGAGCACCATCATTGGACAGCTCATGTAGCAAAGCACCTAATGGGGCATGAATCACATGATGAGCTTCTTTATACAACAGGAAAACATGCCCCAGCTCTTCACTTTCCTGGTACCGTCAAGAGCACGGCTCTCATTCTTTACACAAACTCCTTAACAAACATACATTCAGACGCATCAATTGTTTCTAGCTCCAGAAGCGGCAAAAGTATATACATGAGACTGCATTTAAAACGGGATGCAAACTACACTGTAGGACCATGACATTACCATTAAAAAAAACAGCAAGGTCCAATCAATATAGTGAAATAATAGAGACTGAATAAATAATTTCTTATGACACTGGAACTTCCAGCAACAATCTCTGTACTTGAAACCACATTTTTTGCCTTCTCTGTGATCACTCAGAGCACAGAGGAGGAAGTGCCACCAAGGCCTGTGCTATGATACCATATGCCACATTTCAACATAGCACCTTTCATAAATTTGCCTAGGTTAAGTGTACTTTTTTTGCCTGCCAGCATCCCCAAAAAGCTGCTCTCAATCATATTCCTTCAACGACTCGGAACTCTACTACCTTCTGACCTCAGTGTCTTTAGTGCCTGCTCTGCCCATCATTCTTCAGCTTAAATTATTCACTGGTCTCCAGTACATTTTAGACAGAGGTTATAACCCTGCTTTTAGCCTTCATTTTGCTTGGCTGTATCAACAAGCTCTTCTAGCCTCCTCTCGTAACAGAGGCTGAGAGGGAGTTTTACAACTTCAATTTGCTTTTTTGAGCAAGATGTCTGCGTTCTACAGGATTCAGTCACTTCACTTCGGTTTGAAGTGGCAAAAAAGGAATCAGTTTAAGTGCAACGCATACATCAGTCCTAGTGATGTCTGCAGAACTATCCCCATGCTTAAACTAAAGTACGTGATTAAAAACTGCACTGAATCAGGATCAGAGCACTCCACACCATCCAGACCTTCTCCTCAGAGATGATTTCTCTCCATACTTACTTAGATCTTGACATCTGATTGTGTTGAAATCAAAGTTGATGCAGAGGTAATCACATGTGTCTCGAAGGTCTGGGATTGAAATCCCATCAGGGCAGTTAATGATTCCCGTTTTGTAGTAATCCTGCAAATAAAAAGGACAAGTTCTAGAAAGAAAATTCAGAACAGCTTGGACATCGATCATTTTCAATTAGCTTTTTGTTCTGTTAACCAATATTTGTTAGTTACAGGGGAAATAAATAGCTCTGTGAACAATAAAAACAGCCCTGCTTGTCCAAGAATCTATGTCCCTTGGAAAATTCTCTTGGGTCTGATAACTGGAGTTCACAGTTTAAAACCTTTCCCATGATGTGGGGTTTCATAACATCCCGTATGCAATATACGTTTACATGCGACCATGAGGTCAGGTCAGAGCTCAGAACTACAACTGCATGACACAAGAAAGGTAAAAGGTAACCTGAGCAAATATCTGAAATGCTGATTCATACCAAAATCCACTATACATTTTTAGCACAGCATGAAACAGTAGTAAAAGAATATGTCCCTTGGGGTATGCAGCTGCCTGGGAGATGGATCAGCTTGGCACACGTGACAAACCCTTTTCCATCTGCAAACATCATCTTACCAGCACGGTCCGGAACACAGCTGAGCTAATTCCTTCTGCGATTTCATATTCTCCCTTCTCATTTGGCCGTGTGAAATTATATTCTCTTCCTGGTCCAAACATCCTGAACAGATAAAAGTCTACATAAACGCACAAGTAAAGGTAAATGCATCCATACTAGGAACCAATAGGTGCACCGAGGTTAAACAAAACCAGCAGTTAACACAGGTATACAGTAACTCGAAGCTAACACTCAAATCTCTTACATAATAAGCAAGCACGAGAGCTGTCTCAACTAAGTCCTACCACAGCCAGACTCTGAGACTGCTGCTAAAGCTGCTTCACCGTATGGAACAAGCCACAGCTCAGAGGAACAGACCATTCCCCCGCGGGTCAAAAAAACCCCTAGCAAGAAAGCCTTTCCATTGAGGCTATGCAAGATAACCATCATATGCCTTTTGATCACTTGCTTTACACACTGACCTGTGCAAAGGTCAGGCTGCCTTTGGTCAGAGACAAGGTGATGGTGTTAGCAACATGGAAAAGGAATGCTTCTTAGTAGTAGTAGTTAGTAGCTGCATCAATAGGCTCCAAAGTGTAATCCATGTTAGAAGGAATTGAGTGGCTTCTCTCTTGGGAGAATATCAGAAGTTAACAGAAGGAGGGGAATGGAGCATTATCATTTTCCCCATTCTAGAAGGGAAGTTATCAGCTGCGAACAGACGTGCTGCTTACGAACACGGCAGATACTCAGACAGAAGGTAAAAGTAGTCCGCATCTAGCTAAAGTGCACATTGGACGAAATACCTGGACCGAAGGGAGACTGTTACCTAGAAAACTACCAACTTCTCTCTACATCATCATGTTTTCAAGGCCTCGCAGCCAAGTTCAGAACAAGCCCAACCTTGCCTAGCTTATAAATACAGATGAGATCACAACATAAACAGTATGTTCTTATTCCATTTTAGCAAACATTCAATCCACCTGAAGCACCCTGAAAACGGCAGAAATCACTTACCTTCCCAGCATAGTATCAGGGTGAGCAGTGAAAATCTGTGGATTCACTGCAAATCGAGTGCCATCTACCACAAGGGTCACTTTCTCTGGAGCCTGTGTTTGTGAACTGATGCTTGAAGACAAAGCGCTGCCTCCGTGGCGTTCCTGGGTATTAAAATATTCTGGCTGTCTTTTATTCCCATCTTGGAAATGGCAGTTGTGTGTATCTTCAGAAGCGGACAACATGCTACTGATCTGGGGACTCGCTGGACAAGCACTGTGCCGGCATTCGGGATCTGAACCTAAGGGAAACAATCGGTGTAAGGACAAAATATAATTTGTTGAAAACATCATTCAATACTAAAACGTCACGGTGTAATGAGAAAACAGAGTCACACACCAAGAGAGGATGTCAATATGCTTGACTTTTAGGGTAACGTTATGCAACAGAAGGCTATGCTGCCTTTTCAAATTGAGCCAGCAGTTGGATTTTGAATAAAAACTTTCCCAACAAGCCATGATGCTTAATACCCCTTATTAAAGCATGATGGATTCAAGGGGTAAAAAGTAAGAGCACAGAAATAAAACAAGGCCAGGAACAAGCACACCCACACACACAGATGCCCAGTACCAACAACAGCTACTCTCACAGGAAAGCGGAGTCCTCGGACCTGAAGAGGGGCTGCGACCTCCTAGCACCACGTTATTTTCTTCTGACTCATGGACTGATACAGTTATGTTTTCCACGGAGCAACTGGCCTCCAGTTTTCTTGACGAGTCTGTCCCACCAGCACAGTTAATGTTCATGCTGGGCCTCCGAGACGTGAGGAGTTGGCTGCGTTTCCTAAGAGAAGAGCTAGGAGAGAAAATACCACGGTGTTAGTGTTGGAAGAAATTCCCAGGCAACGAAGCTCAAATCCCTGAATCTTCTACTGCAAGCAAAGTCCCTCAGGGTCAAGAGGCATTCATTCAGTTACTTAATTGGCCTTCAGAGAGCCTTGAGATGCTAGTTATACCCCTACACCAGCCTTGTGAGAGGAAAAAGGAAAAATAAAATGTTTTAAAGTAACCAAGGGTCTATTTTACCTATAAACCTTCGGTTTCCTCAAAGTAAATCTAAAACCACTGACGTCTTTGGATCACATGCACGCTCCTTCAAATATCTTCCTGGCAACTGCCTGATCTCCAGACCACTAGAGCCCTTTAAAAACGTTTATGAATCTCGATTCCCAGGACTGGCGCTTGCTAACTTGGCTATAGCCTGAACGTTAACATGTGCCCAGGTAACAGCCCAGGCACTGTCCTCTTCACCTCTCAGAGGCTTGACTAGGAGGTGCTCTACTTCCAGTCATTGTTTTGTCTTCTCTTTCCTTGATTCATCCCCCTACTGCCATATGGTGACCGACCCCAAAATTTAACGCAGCATAGTCCTACAATAAACGCTCATATCAGATCGAATAGCCACGACTGCAGTAGCCTCACGTCCAACACACCCTGGCTCGGCCCGATACACACGATGCTCTGACTAATTCTATTCGACTCTTAAATATCCTTTCTGCATACCTGCTCAGAGAAATCTTCGCCGTTTTGGTCCCTTCACACTAAGCTAAATCCATCTTCCGTGTTCTTATCTTAAGGCTCTTCCCTTTCTCTGCTCTCACATCATTCAACTCCTTTGTATCTTCTAACAGCTCTCTCTTGCCTCTTTCCTTCATTCTCTCCTTGGCCTGTTTTTTCTTGCTATTGCCTTGGACGAGAAACACCGCTCCTTTCCAGGCTCCGAGTGTTTTTCTCTTCACTCTTTCAAACATAAAACACCAATTTCCTCATTAATGAATTTTCTCCAATTTCCTCCCTGCAGAACAATTGCCCTGTGTCTTCTCGTGAGAGAAGGAAGACTCCAGCGCCTGTGGGTGCCATCTCTAAAGCACGGCAAAACACTGACACGGCTAAAAACAAACCAGATAAACTACAGCACTGATCAAACAACTAAGTGGCAAATCAGAGTTGGCGAGCTTCCTGGTCATGACCTGCTGAGGATAAAGGCCTTAACGAGCAGTTCAGCAGTGGCTTTTCAGGCCCATCATTACTGGAAATGAGCGCAAGGGGTTTCACTCTTAATTAGAAATCTCTTAATTAGAAATGGACAAAAGGGGATAACAATTCCTTCCTCCCCTCTCCCAAAATAAATGCTAAGTTGCCAGCCTTATTACTTCTGTTTATTTTTAGAAAAATCTGTTGCTTCTGCTTCATGTAACATTCATGAGAAGGGAGATTTCTGGCAGCAGCAAAACCACCTGAAAAGCTACCATGCTCTTTTTTGAAAGGCGCTGGCTGGCTGGCAGGAACGCAAGGGGCCCACGCGGGTCGTTTCTGTTCCAGGAGATTTAAGAGAACACAGTGCAACACTATACGGCTCTCCTGACACCAATTACCCAACTTTGGTTGGGTTCAGCCTCCCTCTCTTGACGCTTTCCAGGCCGCTTCACTCTTTCTTTGGCCTAACGCAGGTCCCAGGCCCAGGCTGTCTCTGCCTGGCGCTCTGCAGCCTTAGCGGCCCGTAGTCCCTCAAGACAGCGACGGCACACAGACGCCTCCTTTTCTGGGGGCACAGGAGGAGCGCCCTGGGAGAGCGGGAGGGGAAACAAAAAAGCAAGCTTTTAAATTAATTTCAAAATTAACCATTTCAAACCAAGCAACAAAATCCTCAACCAGTCTCCTATTGTATATAGCCCGTTGCAATCACTGCGAGGAAGCACGCGGTATTCCAGGCTGCAAACGTTAACCATTGACGCAACCAACGCTGCGGTTTAACACACATTCACTGAATTGCATACACTGTAGTTATGCTATACTTCCTGACCAAAACGTTTCAAAATTTGGTACCTGCACAAAAAGCAAAAACCTTTTAGAAGAACCGCAGTTTGTTTTACTTAGGTGAAGGAGTTGTGAGACGGGGAAGGGGGAAATCTTTGGTAGACTGGATATGCTAATCGTACTGAGAAAATCCTTAACGCGAGCAGTCCTCAAGACTGGCTAGTCCCATGGAGGAAGGCAGTCAAACACCACCCTGGCTTGTGTTTCAGAAATTCCTTTTTCTTTTTTTCCCCAATTTTTCTACATAGAAACAAGCTCCCCAATAAAGACAAGCTGCAAACACATTCAACTTGGGAACAGGCTTTGCTCTGCGAGCTCAGAACTCTATAAAGAAAGCTTGATAAGGAAACATAAGTATAAAATTTATTTCTTAGGCCTCTTTCTTTCAAGAGGGCTCCATCCCTGCTGGTCTGCCAATAAGCTCCCCTTAAATAATTATGAGATTGTTCAGATGATGCAATATGTTGCTTAGGAGAATTTAGGCAGGGTATCAGATCCAGAAGCAGTTTAGATCGAGACAAACAACGGCTTTATCAAGCGTTTCTCACATTCCACGACTTCACAAGAAGCCTGCCTTATAAGCGACGCTCAAATGAAGCCAAAGAGCATGAGAAACCTCCCGACTGAACTTCCGCAATGAAGAAACGGGCAGTGCAGCAAGCTGCGACTTTGTGAGCAATCTTTCCTCATCACCTTAAACTTTGAATTAAATGCTCAGACAGTTCAAGAGGCTCTGCCTGCCGCTCGGCAGAACCCTCTACTGTAATATCTCACAGACCTCATGTCTCAGGCGTCATCAGCTACATCTGCAGCGCATTATTTCTCCCAGTCTCTTCCCTTTTCTGCTTAATTTGCTACACGCACTTTTTAGAAAAAACAGCTCTTTGGAACAGCTCCCTATTACACTAAGTTTAGCGTGGGTGAAAGGTGCTAAACCCCTCAGGGACAGTGAAAGGTTCAGAAACATACTCTTTGCAATTGGAGCAGTTCTTAGAGGCATTGGGTCTGATTTTCCTCACTGATTTTCCAGGAAGCTGAACCTTCAGCCCTGCTGATAATCAGACTTGGGCCAGGCTGATGCCGTTTTCCTCCCTGCTATCCCTTCTTGGCATGGCCGAACCCTGAAACGTTTTGCGTTTGCGAAATGGGGGCAGACAAGTCAGCATTTTTTTTTTTACTTGCAGCTGGATGGTACAATAAATCCTGAAACTAGTCATTTAACATGACAAATTCATTGCACTCACGCGTACAACCCAGCAGGGAAACTAGTTTGTAAGACTTCAGAAGGCCGTACTCAAACCTGACCAGCTTACAAATGTCCTGGTTTCCTTTCATGGCTAGGATCAAGGTGGACTACCCGTGGTGAGAATGAATACCTATAAATAATAATTAGCGCTATTCATCTTCAAAGCTTTTGGCAAATATTAACTGCTCGCTGCTCCAAAGAACGCTGGGAAGCACCGCAGGGAAGTCTTTTATGACAAAACACCAGGACACGGAAGAAGGGACATAATTTTCAGGACCAGCCAGAGTATGGGCACCACCAACTAGCTAGGTGTTACTTTAACAGGGTCACTACTCACGCTCCCTACCTGGGCACAATTACCTTGCAGTTAACAGGACAGACACAAGCAGGTTGTCGTCTTCTTTGAGGTCTAAGTTTCTGTGCATGTTTCTACCACGTGGTAAGCAAAGACTGGCCAGTACCACAGCACTGATGAGCAGTAAACTAACACCCTACCTTACTTCCCCCTGACTTGTTTGGATGCTTAGCTCCTGAGCAGCCTGTTGTGCAGCCTGCAGAGGAGCTGAGGGCCCATAGCTCATCGACTCCAGCTGGATTTCAGGAGCTGGGAATCCAGAAACATCAAACCCAGCATCGTGTTCAGCACTGAGAATCAGAGTTATCTCTAACAGGCTGTGTTATTTTTGGAAAGGAAATCAGCATCAATCAAAATCAAATTTTATGTCTGGCTCTCAGTATTGGTTTTGCTTGGCTCAGAGTACGTAGGTCTCTCCTCTCCCAAATATGACAAAGTTAAAACATGAGCTGTGCAACTAAACAAGCATCTGTTAACCTTGTGTTGATTATCGAGGTGAAGTCATCTTTGCTGGGATCTGTGCTAGGCCACACTCTTGTTAGGAGAAAAGCATGGGAGTGCTATTTTTTGTACTTTTTTTAAAATACAAGTAGGAAATTAAAAGTTTTATTTAACACAGCATCTTTGGCACAAACTCTTCATGTTATAAGCCTTTTGCATAGATAAACAGGCTGATCCTTGTTCTATCTGTTTCTTAAGGAAGGAAGTGTCTTGGAACTTAAAAAGGCTGGGATGATCTGCAGTACACTACCCTTCCCCACCCTAGAGAGTCACAGCAATAACATGTACAGCACAGAAAACCCATTTAGATGCAGGGCATTTTATGAAGCAAAAGACAACAAAACCATCAGTGCAGACTTGCCGGCTCCTAACTCTTTATTGTACTACTTGGTCCTTATCCCTACACCCTTGCGATTAAGGGAACCATTACAAAATAGTTTAGGCGTCAGCGTCTGTAAAACCTTACAGAACTTCAAAGAAAATGGTGAAAAGTTGAGCAGTCCAATTCTGTTTAGCGTGGAGTCCTTTCCTGTAATATCTGACAGCCCAAGCACCGCTTCACTGTCGTCTGGCATGACGAAAAGGCAGGCAGAAGAAGAAAGTAAAAACAGTAGAAGCGAGTAACTTGACTTCATCGTTCAATTTGTGAATGACAAAGAACGATCAGCATATAGAGCAAGTGAATCAGACACTTCGCAACCTCCCACTCTTACTAAACCACAGCGTAACCACGATGACTTATATAAAGCTCCAAACAGCTTTTTTAAGGTGACAACATTCCTTTAAATCGACAAAAACATTCCCACGTACAATTATTCTCAGAAATATGAGCAAGCAGGAAACACGCGTATTCAGGGTGTGCCTGACCTAATTCTAC